TATATATAATGTGTATTTTAGTGTATAAAATTAATTATTATTTATATGTTATATTTTCAGTTTATTTGATTAATTTTATATGTATTTCAGTTTATAAAATTAATTATTATATATATATATATGTTATATTTTCAGTTTATGGAGGATTTGGTGGTACCTACTTTTAAGTTTTTAGATTGAACTTTTTGATTGTTTATATTATGTCTTTGTAAGGTTTACATTATGTTTTTTAAGAATTGCGCTTCACTTCAATGAAGCGCGCGCTTCGCTTTTGAAGCGAGGCGAGCCCCTGTCGCTTTTTTGCGCTTCTCGCTCTCAAAAATACTGCACACAATAAAGGAAAACTGGAATACGGGAGGTACCAACTCCCGCGAGTAGAATAGTAAATTCAAAGCAAGAACAATAGAACCTGAAGTCACAACGAGTGCCGAGAAAGGTGTTGTCCACAACAGTTATGTTTTGGAAGTTCCCGCCCGCTTCGCCCGAGGCTCGCCGGAAAATTATCTCAGCCGCCACCGCCACCGCCGATAGGCTAGATCAGTGCACCAGAAAATAGGGGGACGGGGGGTGAAAGAGACGAGGTATAGGGGAGAGAAAGAAAGGAGAAGAAGAAAAGGGAAATATAAAAAGATGGGGGTAGATCTGGAAAGCAAGGGAGGGTAGTAACGGGGAAGAAGAAGAAAGCAGGAGAGAGAGAGGAAAAGAAGACAGGGGTGAGGTGGGGGTTTTACCTGGTCTGGTGGTCGCCGGAGGTCCGGTGAATGGTACGTTAGAGAGATCCGAGAGAGACGTTAGAGCTTAAGCTTTTCCAAGCTTTTTCGTAGTCATGCATAACTGTTTAAAAATATTTACATTCTCATGCATGTAGAGAAGTTGAATTAACATTGGGTAATGCAATAATGTTGCAAACAGTTATTCGCTGAGGAAAGTCAAGTATTTGCTTAAGTTTATGGATAGAAAATTGCTAATATACACTTATCACCAATCAATATATGTGATCAGAAGCCAACATCAAAATTAAGAGCCTAAAATGTGAAGAAATATCCAGCTTCAGGAGACTAAGGCCTCATTTGTTTGCACTTAATGGAGGTCTGCTTCTTAATTATTCAGATTTCGGTCATTAAGTACGTTTGTTGTTTAGATCTTAATTTTAATTATTCAGATCTTAACCATTAAGTCTGTTTGTTTCTTTAATTTTACAACCGCTTAATGGGTCTGAATAGATCTTAATGATTAAGATCTATTTTTCTTTAAAAATATTTCACTATTATTCCTACACTTTCACCATCCTCAGCCATAACTACTACCCATCTATAACAGAGTTTTAATATCATTAAGATGTTAGTAAAAAAAATATTTCACTATTATTCCTACACTTTCACCATTAACCACCACCTCCATTGCTATCGCCGTCCTCCACATCGTAGACTATACCACCACCTACTACCCACCACCTACTATTCATTACTACCATCCTCAGCCATAACTACCACCGCTATCAAGCACGAATGTTAGTTGTTACTACTATTAGCCATCATTTACAACCATCACCACCAACCACCATTACTACAACAATCACCAATCACCACTATCAACCACTATCAACCACAACTATATATCACTCATCACCGTTCAGTCACCACTACCATCAACCACCACAGTTAACTACTATTGTCATCCACCTTCTACTACCTATAATGACCACCATCAACCAATACCACTACCAGACATTACCCGGTCGACACCCACAACCATTACTGTTAGCCATCACCACCACCAACCACCATATAATTTTTTAATAGTATTTTATTGATATAGTATTAGATTAATTAGTACTATTTGATTTGAATTTATACTAATTAATTTTTAAATAAAAATAAGTTTTATACATTTAGCGGTAGAGAAAACAAACAGTCTTAATTATTCAGTATTCAGATCTTAATACAATATCTTAATATTCAGATGTGTATCCAGATTCAGGCATTCTAATCTTAATATACATATTAATAGTCAGATATTTATTTAGATTCAAATGTCTTAATCTTAAAAAAAACAAATGAGTGAAATCTTCGGTCTTGTGGAGCTTGATTGCCAGATCTAAGACCTGAGCTTAACTAATCACTTCAGTATTTGTTGTTTGTCTGGTACATGATTTTCCTACTTAGTATCTAGCTATCGCTTTTTCTTTCTCCTTTTTCCCGTGGCAATATGTGATTGAAAACTTGACTAGTCTCTTCAGCTACCTGACACCAGATATTGGTCTTAAAGTTCTATTCTCTTTCCTTTTGGTTTCTTCTCTTTTCTTTTTGTTCATTTCTTTCCGATTTTGGTATAATACAGCGCATCCCAGATGAATTTGTAATGAAGTATGGGGCCAACATGCGAGATCTTGTGGCCCTTGAGGTCCCAAGTGGCGCAATATGGAAAATAAAATTGCAAAACTCTAATGGCATGGCATGGCTGAAGGAGGGTTGGGACCAGTTCAAGGAGTACTATTCAATTGGTTGTGGTTACTTTTTACTCTTTAAATATAATGGAATCTCTCATTTCTCTGTCTCCATATTTGATTTAAGTGCTTCCGAGATTGAATATCCTTCTGGCCCAAGTGAAGATATGACACCAGAGAATTTTGTAAAGATAGTGGGTGATGCTAGTCATAGAAAGAAGGAAGGTGGGCCTGAGACAAACAATAATGCATGTGATGACATCGTGGACGATTTTCTGAGAAAGAAGACTGCAAAAGTTACAAAAGTAGCAGATCATTCATATTCAAGAAGACAAAAGTCTAGCGTTCCAGAATGGCAGGATCGTATCAGGGTGAACCTTGAGAAACCACACGTGGAAGAGGATTTGTATTGTGCAACAGAAAAAGAAAAAAGGAAGGAGATTAAGAAGGAGAAACTTGAAAAACAAAACATGGAGAAGAATTTGTATCATGCAGCAGATAAAGGAAAAGGTATATTGATTAAATGTTTGTACCTATTTTCATGGATTCTTCTTGTTCAATAACATGAGAATCTTCCCTTGTGGTACACATTCTGGTTGAATTATGCTGGTGCCAATAACATTCTCCTTTCTCTCTCTTTGTGTCCTCCTGCTCCCCCTTCCCCTCTCCTTTTTTTAGCAGAGCACTGCAAAGAAGCACTAGATCCCCCAGCCTCTAAGATGACAAATACTTGCAGATGCAATAAAAGGAAATATTCTACGAGTTTGAAGGAACCACATTGTAGGCATCCTCTACGAAGTAAAAGTAAACCGGTGGAAGTGGTGAAGCTTGACCAATCAAAAACAGAAGCGACTATGCACTGTGTAAAACCAAAGAATACAGTAGTTGCAGATTCTTCACATTCTGGAAGACAAAAAACTGCCGCTCCAATATCCTGTCCAGAAACAAAAGATCCTAAGAAGGTGAAGCTTGAAAAAGTGAACTCGGAAGAGGATTTCCATTGTGCAGCACCAAAAGCAAGGAGGGGGGAGACTAACATTGAGAAACTTGAAAAGCAAGATGTGCAACAGAATTTGTATGCTGAAGCATATAAATTTAAAGGTATTTGGTTTTAATATTTGTGGTTACTCTCATTGATGCTGCTGGTCAGTAACAAGAAAATTTTCCTTTGTGAGTCTCATTACGTTGAATTATGTTAC